CCCGGACTCGTTGATTGATTACGCGCTCTGTTGTCTCTCCGCAGAGCGCTCCTACGCCCACACGCACTGGCTGACCCCCGGCCTATGGCCTCCCACTCACTCGCAGCCGCCGTGAGCACAAACAACAAAGCCAAACGCCCGGCACGGATTGATATCACACAACGCGAGTGTGGATTGAATAAATTATTTAAAACAAGAAACTTTTACGGACTGCTGCAGCAGTGTGTCCGTGTCGGTGACGCCCCCACCCCTCTTTTTTTTTTTTTTTTGCACTGGCGCGCCCGTGACCCGTGTGGAGCGGAGAGGACCCTGCTGGACTCCAGTCCGGGGCGGCGCCTCCAGCCGTGGTAACGACCGTAACGCATGACCCCCCCCCTCCCCCTTCTCCCCGGCGGGTCGCGCAGGCCATATGGCCTCCGGGGCCGGGCGGGCCGGGTAATGGCTCGACAAGCTTTGGAGGATGGCCATAACAGATGAGCCGAAGAGATTCGAACCGAGGCGCGCCTCCTCCTCGTCCTCCTCCACCTCCGCACGGTGGGGCCGCGGGACCGGTGTCGTTCGGGTCGCGCCCGGAGCACTGTGGGGCCGCTCTTGTTTTTCGGACGCCCCCCATCCCCCTTCTCCAGCCCCTCCCGGCCCCTCCCGCCGGGACAAAAGCCTCCCCAGTCGCCCTCCCGCCCCGCCCTGCTGGCCCCGGCTGGCGCTCCTCGCGCGCCTTTTGGTGCAAACTCTGGCATAGCTGTGCGAGCACAGCGGCCCCGGGCAGGCGTCTCCGGCCGCCGCCCTGCCCCGCCCCAGGCGGGCCCCCAGCCCCGCCTCCGCCCCGGCCTTTTGTCGTCGCCATGGCGGGCTCACCGCGCTGCGCCTTCTGCTCTCAGCTCGCCGGCCCGACGGCTTTTGCAGTGTAACGTCCAATTGACTGAAAGCGCCTCGGGGCCCGTTCTGGGGTGCGCTATCTTGCTCGCTGTGAGCAGTGAGAGGCGGTCGGTCGAGGAGGAAGAGGGGTCGGGGACGGGCGCGCTGCACGCTGTCCCCCGCCGCGCCCGCCCGCCCCTCGGGATGGGGAGAGAGGGCAGGTAGGCCAGCGGGTCAGCGGCGCAGCAGCCGCGCCGTGCGGCCTGCCTACCCGCCTGGTGTCGGGCGGCGTCCGGTGCCTGGTTGGCGACCCTCGCCCTGCGACCCCTGCGACTAACCCACCATGAAATTCGTTTTTTGTCGGTCTCGGCCGTGTGAACCATCCAATCTATCCGAATCTATCGCTTTGCCCCGATGATGATGCTCCCCAAAGTCCCCAATCAAGTTTCGCAGTAGCCGGTCCTGCTGAACGTGTAGGCCTCGCTGTGGTTGTGCATGGCGGCCCCGCTGGTCTGGTGTGGTGTGTGGTGGCGTTCTCCCTCCCTCCCTCCCTCCCTCC